AATGGTTTTACGCCTAAACGTGACATTAGCATAGTAACAACTTCTGGTCCCTAAAGCACTGCATTAAGTACTTAATATAATTTGTCTCTCTAAATTCTTAAAATAACTGAAATTAAGATACTAAATTCTATACCATTTTGCCTGCTGATCATGCTCAGAATTTACACTTTTTTAAGGATAAAGTATTGAGAATAGTTTGGAGAAAGGCAAGAGAGATGGCAAAAGACCAATTAAGTTGTTGCAACAGGTTAAGAATTCCTGCTACACACAATATGAGCCAATGTTCATGCATACAGAAATAAATAGAATGTTTTATAGAATAAAACATGAATTATGCCCTACAGACATTTAACTATGAAACAACCTTCTTCACCTGATTAAACTTTTTTCCAACAATTTTACTTTTAAAGTAATCATTTTATATGTGCTGCAGTCACTGGGCTTAATTCTTACTTCCACTGGAAAGCAGCCTGATGGAGAAAACATAAAGCACTATCTTCTAAAATGCACCTTCTTTCCCAAATTCTTTAAGGCATAAAACAAACTACTGTTTTAATTCTATAAATGACTGAAGTAATATCCTCCCTGTGATACCATTCATACTCATCTCCAGCTCAAGAAGCTTAGATAAAACAAGCACAAAGAAATCTTAAGAGCAAAGGCTGAAGGGAATGAGATGATCGCTAACCATCTTTTCCAATGGGGTAACCATGAAAGACAATATTAAATAGCTCCTAAGGCTTCTTGATCAAAAGTCTCTCCTATCAGAGTCCTATTGCAGCTTATCACCACTGGGCCTTGTACTACTATATTACTTACTCTAGAAACTGACTCTTAAAGGCTGAGCTATAGCTAGTTGCAAATGGTTAATTGTGTCCAAGCCTGACTTAAAAACTTGAGCTGACTAAAACAAACCCCAAAAAAAGATTCTAGAAAGGAAAGCATGGTACACTGGAATGACCACTAAATTTTAGTCTACTCAAAAACCTGAGTTACATAAAAAGATGCTAAACGTCATTTGTTATTTGGAAACAAAATTAAAACTACAAGATTCACTACACTCTCTAGAATGGCTATAATAAAAAAAGACTCAAAAATGGATAATATAATAAATTTTGTTAGATGATTTATACAACACACACAAAAATTAACTGCAAAATAGACTAACAATATCAGATATTGGAGAGGATGTGCAGCAACTGTAACCTTCACATGCTACTGGTGAAAATACAAAATGATACAGTACAACTTTAGAAAAGTCTGGCAAAAAAAAATTTTAATCCTCATCCAAGGATATGTGCCCTGACCAGAATTTGAACTCGCAACCACTTTGGTGTATAGAACAATGCTCTAACCAACTGCCCACAGGGACCAGGCAACTGAATATTTATTTATTTATTTATTTATTTATTTATTTATCCTCACCCAAGGACATTTTTCGATATTTTGTTCAGATAGAGCAGGAGGGAGGGAGGGAGAGAGAGGAAGACAGAGAGAGAGAGAAACATCGACGTGAAGGGACACATCGAGTGGCTGCCACCTGCACGACCAACCAGGGCCAGGGACAAACTGCAACGGAGGTACGTGCCCTTAGCGGGAACCGAACCCGGGTCTCTCTGTACCACAGGCCGACGCTCCAACCACTGAGCCAAACCAGCCAGGGCTGAATTTTTTTTTTAAGTTACGCATATGATGCAGGAGTCCCATTCCTAGGTATCCACCCAAGAGAATTGAAAACATATGTCCACATAAAGATTTGTACACAAATGTTCACATCAGCATTGTTCTTTATAGCCTAAATCTGGAAACAACCCAAATGTCTGCCAAATGGTGAGTAAATAAATTGTGGTATACCCATTCAATGGACTACTACTCAGCAATAAAATGCAAGGAACTACTGATAAATGCAACAACATGGATGAATCTCAGAATCATCACTTTGAATTAAAATAATCCAGACACGAGACTATTACCAGTATGATTACATTCATATGAAATTCTAGAAAAGTCAAAATTACTGTAATTAGACAAAAAGCAGATCAGTGACTGCCCTAGGTGAAAATGAGTTAAGGACTTACTGAAAGGGGCAAGAGGGAATTTTTGGGGTGAAGCAAGTGTTCCAAAACTTCATTGGGGTGGTGGGTACATAACTGTATACATTTAACAAATCATAATGTACTTGAAATGGCTCAGCTTAATTGTATGTAAATTATAACTCAATAAAGTTGTTTTTGTTTTCATTTATTTATTTTTAAATCCTCACCGGAAGATAGACAGAGAGAGAGAGACATCGATTGGTTGCCTCCCACACAACCCTGACCAGGGCTGAGGACCAAACCGTTAACAAGGTACATGCCCTTGACTGGAATCGAACCTGCAACTCTCAGGTCTGTTTGCCAATGCTCTAACTGCTAAGCCAAACCTGCCAGAGTTCAATGAAGTTGTTTTTAAAAAGATGTGGGTTAATTAGATCTACAGGTTACAAGCTGTGCGACATTAACCAGTTTTCATTTTCTCACATATACACTCATACACATTTTATTTTCAAAGCAATCACTTCTTTATTGTACTGTACTGGGCTTAAATATAATTCTTACTTCTACTTGAAAAAGGATCATGTAGTTATCTATACTGCTACTTGTCCTATCTCACAAGGTTGTGAAATACCACCCGACTTAACTACTGAGAAAGTACTTTGGCAACTCTAAAGTAACATTACACAACTATATAGTAAACATTTGTAAAAAACAGACATGAATATTTTTTTCACACAGATGACTTGAGACCCTTGGAAACTTGAGTATCCCAAAGTCAATCTTTACCCAGAAATATAGACAGTCTATACAATGGTCACCTTTTTAATATCCATTCTAAATTTGCTCTCTACTGACTCTTGATTTACTGGATGGCTCAATGCAGTTATTATCTAGCCTTCACTTTCCTTTTCCAAAAGGAAAACACTAAAGAAATGTTTAAAGAAAGTCATTAGATGGACAAGACATTTATTTCCCAGTGGAAAAGACCAAATCCTAGAAAACTGTCTTTTGTTGAACACTTTTCCGAGATGTTCACAACTGAGATTTTTCTTTCTCTAAAGTCAGTTAAATTACTTTCCATTTACTACTTCAATTCCACATGTATTACTGAATATTTACTAATGTGACTTGTATTAAACAAGAGTGAGTGAATAATTTTAACACCAAAACTTTTTAAACCAGTGTAGTCATTTCACACTTTTGCCTGTTGCAAAATTTAACATTCTCATTTTTTCCTACTACCACTGCACAACTGGGTTCTCTGCTATCCTACCAGGTATGAGTGATATTTGACATTTAGGCTATCTATATACAAGTTTCCACACCGAAAAAAGTATGAAGGCTGTTCTGAAAGGCAATCTCTTCTTCAAATACAGTTTGGCGACTAAATTTTACCGTGAATTCAGGTTTATATTACATAAATCTGACGGTTTTAAAAAGTTTTTCTACCAGCAACAGGTTTTGCAACCAAAATTAACAAGCCAGTTAATTTTTAAAGACTCTTTTTAGTAACAGTTCTAAGAGGATGATTCTAGGATCAATTCTACCGCCATGCTTCAGTTTGGTCAGTAGTAACCAAATCTCTTAGGTTTCACATTTTTGCTCCGTTAACATTAAGGCCACTCAGTTCGGTAACTGCACACTTCCAATTGTAGTTTTCAAGAAACCTGCAAGAACGGCATCTTGCCCATTTGCCCCTCCAGCCTTGCCTACACTCAGACGGTTAGCCAAATCGTGCAGCTCTCTCCACACCACAAACCAGCTGGAATGGAGCACCCAGAGGGCGACTGGTCATGGGGAGGAGGGGAGAACTACTCCGCCTGGAGGACGGCGGCTGAGGTCCAATCCAGCCCGCGCCCAACTCTCCTTGCCGCCAGAAAAACGTGTGGACCCTACACGCTCAGGTCGTGGTGCTCGGTCCCGAGGGGCAGAGCCGCGCGTGCCTGCGGAGCAGGACGTAAACAAACCGACCCAGAGGAGAGGAGAGAGAAGGGGCGACCCGGGGTGGGGGATGGGGAGAGAGGACCTCGCTCCGACCCCTCAGCGCAGGCCCGCAGCTGCCTGGCCCCTCCGACCGCGGCCCGGGTCTTGCTCCCAGCGCCGCGCTGCCGCGAGGGCGTGCACACCAATGGCCCCGGCGCGTCTGGAGCCCTGAGCCACCAGGCCGTCGGCTCCGCGCCCCCCACCCTGCAGCGCCCTACCTGAACACGCAATCCGGATCCCGCGCGTCCCGACCGGGCGCACCCGACCCGTTCCTCTTGCTGAAGAGCTTCTGGAACAGCGTAGGGGCCATTCTAGCCACGGCCAGGCCCGGGTCGCTCCTCGGGGTGCTTGCTAGGCCCCCGCTCCTAGAGCCGCTTGGGCGCCTCAGTCATATGACAGAAATTAGTCACTTCAAACGGCCACGGCGCGCGGGGCGGAGCGTGAGACAAGGCCGGCATTTATTGGCTGGCAGTGAGCCGCGTCACGTGGCGAAGCGCCGAGCTTGGGGCAAGGTGGGGGCGTGGGGCGGGGCTGGCGTCCATAGGCTGGCGAGAGGATTCCCTCACGTGGCAGCTCACGGGGCGGGGCGTGCGCGGAAGCGAGAAGAAAGGAGAGAAAGGGGGGGAATGGGAGCGGAGGGGAGGGGAGGGGAGGGTGAGGGCGGGACGGGGAGGAGAGGGGCGGGACGGGGAGGGGTGGGGAGCTTTAGGGAGAGGAAGGGCAGAACTGGGAAAGGCTAAGGAAGGGGGTGGGGGGGAGAGGAGAAGGGGGAGGGCAGCGAGGAGGAGAGGTATCTGGGGAAGTCAGGCGCGAAAACGCACAGGTCGGGTTCCTCTGTGACTGTCACTTGCTACCTGAGGCTACGGCGGGTGGAACGGGGACAACGCCAGGGACTCGAGTGCAGAAGCCTTCGGCGCCCCTCACCCTGGACAAAGAAAGCTGCTTAGAGCACCTCGAGCAGACAACCTTCCCTTGTCGTCCTCATCTCGGCTTCGTGGCTTCGCACCTCCACCCGGCGCCTGGCGGAGTCCACGGTCCGCGGAGCAGAGAAGGCGCGGGTGCGTGAGCATTACCCGTGGGGCCGGGGCGTAGGCTGGACTTGGAGCCCGCCGCCACAGGCCTGCCCGTGCTGGGTCTCGGGAAGTGTGAACTCTGAACTTGACAGCGTGGGGCTGGCTCTTGTGGTCTGATGAAGGACCCTGCCATGACACCCGCCACCGCTGTGACTCCCAAGAGACGCTGCGGGCAGGTATCCTCCGAGTTTTCGACTAACTCCGCGAACCCTGGCACCAGGAATTCGTCCCTTGTAAGAGCTAAGGATAGGAGGCTGTGGATTTAGGCTCAATCTTAATGTCTAGGGGTGAGGAATTGTGGAATTGTAAACAAATGGGTTTCATTTGATGAAATGAATGAAACATAGGATGAAAACTTCCTTCCAAAGAAAACCGTTGCTCATAAATGACCTACAGTCTTATTAAACCCAGGAAGCCAAAATTTATCAAGGTTTATTTATTTATTTTTTTATCCTCACCCAAGGACATTTTTCCATTTTTTGTTCAGGTAGAGTAGGAGGGAGGGAGAGAGAGAGAGAGAGACATCGATGTGAAAGGAACACATCCAGTGGCTGCCACCCCTATGACCGACCAGGGCCGGGAACAAACTGCAACCAAGGTATGCGCCCCTAGCGGGAACTGAACCCAGGTCTCTCAGGACTGCAGGCCGACACACTAACCGCTGAGCCAAACCGGCCAGGGCCAAAATTTATCAAGGTTTAGATCAAACTGGTCTTACAAATTTTCAGCACCTCAACATATTTACCCACTCCCACTCCAAGGTGAGGAATTTTGTACTATGGGATGCAATTCTCTGATAAATATGATGTCAGGAAGTGATTGGTAGGTAGTTAGAAGGTTAGGTAAAAATACTTTTTTGAGAATTTCATTTAAGTAGGCATACAAATCAAATTGTCTTTTAAGTGGCTAGGAAATCCTACTGATTTGCAGCTAGAGTGTAAGCTATAAATAAGTGGTCTTATATAGAAAACAAGTAATAGGCAGAATATGCAAGGTGGGTGAAAAGTAGGTTTACAGTCGTTCATATGAAAAATAACAATAATTAATAAATAATAATGCAAGAATAAACTTTCCTGTACTCACAACTGTAAACCTACTTTTGCCCCACCCTGTATATCTGGGAAATCAGTGGTCAACATGTTGAGTTTCAACAGAAAATATTTTTAAAGCACTATTTACATATGATTAACAAATTAATTTATTCATTCCATAAATGTTTAAGTCGCCTTGGTGTAAGCAGTGGGGATTCGAAGCAAACGAGAGAGAGAGAGCGCGCGTGCTAACTTTCTATATGAGACAGTATATAAACAAGGTAATTTCAGACTAGTGTTCTGAATGAGAACTAAGCAACGAAATGAAGGAATGGGGAAGGTCTCTCTGAGGAGGTCACATTTGAGGTGCTCAGGTTAAGATTCATTCAAAGGTACTCACATTGCCCAAGCTCCAGAAGTTACTGGGTAATAAGGAACAAAATAGTAGGACTATATCATTTATACATTTAAGATAATCCTCTGGACTATGGTGCCAAACACTGAAAGATTTTTTTTTTATATGTTTTCATTGATTTTTTTAAAGAGAGAGGAAGGGAGAAAAAGAAACATCAATGTGAAAGACGAGCATCAATCAGCTACCACCTGCACACCCCCCACTAGGGACCGAGCTAGCAACCCAGGCATGTGCCCTGACCGGGAATCGAACCAGGACCTCTCAGTCCATGGGATGATGCTTAAACCACTGAGCCACACCTGCCATGCTGAAAGATTTCTAATAAGGCAAAATGACCTAGGTATATTTTTCTCACAAAATGTGACCATGGGATGAATTTTTTGTAAACAAAAATGAAGTCAATGCAATTTTTAAGAAGTGAAAAAAAATGCACATACTATAAGCCAATCAACTGAATAAGTTTTGGAGTTTTCTTTTATACTAACAAGCCACACTAAATGAGTATAAATATGGACAAAAGATACTGAGGACTCATGGCTGGTCCATAGCTGGCATAGAGAAGAGAGTAGTTCCAGGTCCCTTCAGAAGGAAGTTTCTAAATACAATAGCTTTGTGTGCTTTCATCTTGGAAAACAATTACTTCATGGATAAGTACAGATATTGATAGTCAGAGAAAGAGTATTACTGCATGCATAAGAGATACTTTTAGTAATGATTTTATTTCTGTAGTCTTAGTCTTATACTTGAAAGATACAGAAAAACTAAATTTACTTGCTGACATTCATTACATTTCCTTCATGTTGCAGCATAATACTCAAGTTACAGAATGAAGAGCACAGATGTGTTTGTCATTTTAAAAAATAAAGACATAGCCCTGGCCAGTTTGGCTTAGCGGTTAGAGCGTCAGCCTGTGTACCAAAGAGTCCCGGGTTCGATTGAAGCCAAGGGCATGTATCTCGGTTGTGGTTCATCCCCAGTCCCAGTTGGGGTCGTGCGGGTGGCAATCAATCGATGTGTCTCTCTCACATCAATATTTCTCTCTCTCTCTCTCTCTCTCTCTCTCTCTCTCTCTCTCTCTCCCTCCCTCCCTCCCTCCCTCTCTCCCTCCCTCACACTTTGTCTGAAGATAAATGTAAAAATATCCTCAGGTAAGAATTAAAAAAAAAAATTTTAAGACATGTAACTAGCCTGGCCAGTATGGCTCAGTTGAATGGAGCGTTGTCCTGTATACCAAAAGATGGCGGGTTCAATTCTCACTCAGGGCACATATCCAGGTTGTGGTTTCAATCCTAGTTGGGGCTCATACAGGAGGCAACCGATCTATGTTTCTCTTGCTCCCTCTCTGTTCTTCTCTCTCTAAAATAATTAAAAATATATACTCACGTGAGGATTTTTTTTTTTAAAAAAGACATATAGTCTGGCTGTTGTGGCTCAGTGGTTGAGTGTCAACCCATGCACCAAGAGGTCGCCAGTTCAATTCTGTCTGATCTCCAGTGGGGGGCATGTAGGAGATGGCCAGTAGATGTTCTCATTGATGTTTCTATCTCTCTACCTCTCCCTTCCTTTCTCTCTAAAATCAATAAATTAAAAAAATTAAATATATATAACTATACTTAAATTAAATATATTTAACTATACTTAATTATGCAGATTAAATTGGAAATATTTTCAAGTTCAATAATGGTGTACATTTTTCCTTTTTCCTTAACACTTCCTCTTTCCCCAAGAGGCTGAGGAATCTTAAAGTTGCCTCTTTAAGTTTAGGAAGTTAACTAGGAGGAAATGTGAGAAAGAAAATAATTATCTATTCATTAATGTTATATGAATGTGGAACTGTTGGGTAAGTCCAATACCTTTTTTTTTGGCCAATACTTTTTTTTAGTTTGTAATTGTTTTTACTTTATTTTTATTATTGACATTATTGCAGATGTCCCCATTTCTCCCTGACCCTTTGCCCAACCTCTACCCAGCCCCACTCTTGTCTCTGTGTATGGGTTATGCATACACGATATTTGGCTAATCTCTTCACCCTCTTTCACCCCCCACTCCCCACCCCCCACCCCTGCCAACAGCTGTCAGTCTGTTCCATGTATCAAAGGCCTATACTTTTACACGGGAGTAGAAGATTCAGCCTCATCCAAAACCCCCAAGAGCCTATGAGTCTCTGTCCACTTGCTTCTAATAACATAAAAAACTGGGCAGTCTCTTCTGGTTACCACATAAAGGAAAAGGTGGCAATAAAACTAGAATTGTGTTGCCTTAACCACCATGCAAATCAATAAGCATGGCATTAATTGTGCTAAATTTTCATTGATAACATCTCAGAACAAAACATTCAGAATCAAGATGATGAAATAAAACTGCCTAAAAACACTTAGATGAACTTAGAGTACCTCTGTTCTAAAAACTCTTAAATCAACTGCTATATAATAAGGGTATGGCAGTGGTTTGAGGAACCAGAAAACATTCATTCATTCAACAAATATTTCTTGTGTCACCCTAAGGTCTCAGACTCTGTTCCAGACGCTGACAATACGATGCTGAACAAGAATCCCTACTCTCAGGAATTTAGTTCTTAGTGAAAAGAAGCAAAATAAATAAGATGTTTGCAAGTTGGACTAGGGATTAGGAAAAAAAATAGTTGATACCAAACAACTGGAGGGGTCCAAATTTAGTAGGGTGGTCAGGAAAGACATCTTTTAAGATGTGGAATCTGAGACTTCCGGTCAAGATGGGGGCGTAGGTAAGCGCGGTATTGAGTCCTCCCACAACCACATCAAAGTTACAACTAAACTAAAGAACAACCATCATTCAAAACTGCCTGAAATCAAGCTGAATGGAAGTCCTCCAACTAAGGAATCAAAGAAGCAGCCACATCGAGACTGGTAGGAGGGGCAGAGGGGGATGAGCTGGTCACACACCCACGTGTGGCGGATAAAAATCAGGAGGACACCTTGGCTGGGAAGGTCCTCCCTGAGGACTGAGGGGTCCCCGTCCCACACCAGGCTCCCCACTCAGGGTTCCAATGCCAGGAAGAGAAGTCCCCATAACTTCTGGCTGAAAAAAACCAGTGGGAACTGAGGCTCAGGGAGTCTGAGGCAGCTGGAACCCCAGGCAGCACCTCTTAAAGGGCCCGCAAACGGACTTATCAGACTCATTCCTGCTCAGTGTTGAGGGAAGGCAGCTCAAGGGGCGCCAGAGACATACAGGAAAGAACTGAGCTGTTTGGCATTGAAGCGAGGGCTGGAGAGGGGGCTTTCTCCGAGACAAACGTGCTGTCAGAGGCCTTTGTTCCTGTGGTGAGCCCTTCCCTGGGACAGCAGACAGCTGCCATATCTGGGACTCCAGCAACCTGGCTCACACTGGTAGCCCCGCCCTGGTGATTCCCTGAGGCCCCGCCCCACCCAACTTTCAGGCCCACTCAAGCTGTTGCCAGTTGCTTAGCCATAGGATTGGCCTGTCTTGGATCCTGCTTCAGGTTTTCCTAAATTCTTTCAAACAAGCAGTATCTGGTCTCAGCTAGCCCCATAGCTCTCGTTAAGTAATACACAGAAACAAACAGAGGGAGGCAGCCAAAATGAGGAGACAAAGAAACAGGTCCCAAATCAAAGAACAAAACAAAACCCCAGGAAAAGAACTAAGCAAAATGGAGATAAGCAACCTAACAGATGCTGAGTTCAAAATACTGCTTATAAGGATGCTCAATGAACTTAGTGAGAACCTCAGCGAACTTAGTGAGGGCCTCAAGAGCATAAGAAAGGACCAGTCAGAAATGAAGGAGGCACTAACTGAAA